TAACTTCCTTTCCATACGCCCCATGGACAACCCAGGTCACCTTGTACCAGCAGGGGGTATTTTTATAGCAGAAAGGGGAGGGACACATCTGCCGTTGAAGAAGGAAAGGACTTTAGGTGATCACAAGATTCCCAATGAAACTGTCACTTTTGAACCTCCCAGGACTTAATTGCAAGACAATTCCAAGATCTGCATGCAGGTGAAATGAGCTTGTGGCAAGTTTCACATGCATGGAATCATGCACGCAGATTTAAAACCCAAAAAAGCGCTACAGTTGAAAAATGTACACAAAGATGCTGGGGTCCATGGCAAGAATGTGCAGGGGAAATACATACAAAATGGCTCGTCGTTGTCGTTTAGTCGTGTCCGGCTCTTCGTAACCCCATGAACCAGAGCACGCCAGGCCCTCCTATACTCCACAGCATCCCGTAGTTGTGTCAATTTCATGTTGGTTGCTTTGAAGACACTGTCCAGCCATCTCATCCTCTATTGTCCCCTTCTCCTCTTGCCGTCACACTTTCCTAACATCAAGGTCTTTTCCAAGGACTCTTCTCATGAGATGGCCAAAGTACTGGAGCCTCAGCTTCAGGATCTCTCCTTCCAGTGAGCACTCAGGGTTGATTTCCTTTAGAATTGATAGGTTTGCTCTCCTTGCAGTCCAGGGACTCTCAAGAGCCTCCTCCAGCACCACAATTCAAAGGCATCAATTCTTCGGCAGTCTGCTTTCTTTATGGTCCAGCTCTCACTTCCATACGTCATGACAGGAAAAACCATAGCTTTGACTATTCGGACTTTTGTTGGCAAGGTGATGTCTCTGCTCTTTAAGATGCTGTCAAGGTTTGCCATCGCTTTCCTCCCAAGAAGCAGGCATCTTTTAATTTCGTGGCTGCTGTCTCCATCTGCAGTGATCATCGAGCCCAAGAAAGTAAAATCTGTCACTGCCTCCATATCTTCCCCTTCAATTTCCCAGGAGGTGATGGGACCAGTGGCCATGATCTTAGTTTTTTTGATGTTGAGTTTCAGGCCATTTTTTGAACTCTCCTCTTTCACCCTCATTACAAGGTTCTTTAATTCCTCCTCACTTTCTGCCATCAGAGTGGTATCATCTGCGTATCGGAGGTTGTTGATATTTCTTCCGGCAATCTTAATTCCGGTTTGGGATTCCTCTAGTCCAGCCTTCCGCTACATGATGGGAAATGTGCACAAATTTCTGTGCGAAAGAAAAACACCTACCTACACATGGTCGGAACTGGAAGGAAGAAATGATAACAATGCAGATGAGATATGGCATGGCAATGGGGGCAGGATTTGAAGAAATGGAACAAAATTAAGACTGAAGGCATATGGAGAATTTCAATCCCAAAGGAGGCCAGGAAGGAGAAAACAAGAAACCAGTCCTTTTACTTGGTTGCCTCCCTTCTATCAAATGAAGTGCTGCCAGAAATCCACATGGCCACTCTCTGGTAACTTTTAAGAAACTGCTGAAAATCTTCCGAATTTGACAGGTCTTTCAAACCATACCATCTCAATAGCCTGCTGAGATTATATATTTAACATCTACCTGATCTGCCTGATTTAAACTTAATTTTAGTTGCAAATGTAAGCTTTGTTGTTATGTTTGTTGATATAGGTACAGTATTTGTTATGCATCTATATTGTACAGTATTCTGCTGTACACTGTCCAGAGTGGCCACAGGTCAGATGAGCAGTATAGAAATGCAATGAATGAATAAATGAATGAATGAACACATAACTAATTAACTAATTAATCTCTGTGCTGAGTATCATCAAAGTGCATGCAAGAGAATTAAAACATGGGGCAGAAAGTGGTCAAGTAAAGTTACAATAAGCAGCTGAAAATAGAAGACAGCCATAATATCAACAAAAAGGCAAGTGGGGAACTAAACACAACTTTAAGAAAGTAGTGTTCCAGAGTTTAGATGCCCCAGCGAAGAACGGCCTCTCCTGCTTATTTAACTGTAGTTTTATGTTACGTGAGAACAATAACAGGCCTTCTTTTAACTGCTACTCTACATCAGCAATGGCAAATAACAGGCATCTAGCCATTTTCCCTTATACTAAGCTTGTCTGAAATGGTTTAAAAGCATCTACACACTGCCAATTAGGAAGGCCTTATATCATGCCAAGATTTAAACTTCCAAAGGCTAACTAATAGCTTTAGCACGCTGAGAAACACAATACCATTCAAATGATGATTAAATCCAGAGTGTACAGTATTCAAAGAAATCCGCTAGCTGGTAATCTATTCCCCTTCCTGAACACTAATTTGTAATCATTTCGGAATGCCCGTTATTTACTTCTGAGTCGTCTTCTCAACATTAACTCAGCAAATCTGACAATACCGGTTATTAGAATTTTAAATTAGTATAATCAGCCCTGGTTAATAATAATTATTACTCTTAGTCTTAGATTAAAACTTCTCTAGCTTACCAATTATTATTAAATGTAGAGCAACTCAAGTTTTGCAGGCACTGTAAAAAGGTTTAGAAATATGACCGTTCCTGCTCAGAGGTTTATAATCTTAGATAGTCACAGATGCAAAGGAAAAAGGGAAGAGGAAGGAAGAGAAAAAAACACTATTTTTTTTTTTAAAAAAGCATAATCATCAAGATTACAATGCTAATCACATTTATCTGAAAGTACTTTTGGAATTTACTTCCGATCAATATGAATGGGACTCAGCTATGAAAGAGTGAGTTACTGATCAGGGTCTGAATCCTGCTAGGAAGACCCAGATGCAGAAGTGAAGTGGGTTCTTCTAACTATAATAGTTGTGTATAATAAATAATTATCTGCCGTCAAGTTAGTTCTGGCTTATGGCGACCCTTTTCATGCTTTTCCAGGTAAACTGTACTCGGAAGTGGTTTGTCACTCCATTCTTCTGAGGACTGTCCAGCTTGCCCAAGGCTGAAGAGACTGCCTCTTCCGGGATGGACAGTCGAAATTCAGCAGCTGAACTTTCAAAGAAACGACACACCGTTGAAGGTAGAGGAGCCATCTCCACGTTGGTGTCCAAATCTCTAATCTTTCTTTCCCCTGAATTTATGAGATTAACTTCAAAGCAAGACATCCGTTTTCAACCTCAGCTATTCCTACATATAAAACAGCAATTGATCACAGAGTTCTTGCAAAGCCTATGAGCACATAACACTTATGAAGATCTTCCACCGCTTTGTTCTAATGTGAAGTCTCGTGATCATTTCCCACAGATTCTGCTATTTGCTCCATACAGATGACCCCATCCTCTAGAGAAGCTTTGAGTGCTTTAAGGACAGCTATTGTTTAGTTAAGAATTTGCAACCTATCTTTGATTTAAAATAGACTCAGATTGCTGAGAAACATACAAATGGACAACTGCTAGAATCATCAATGAAACTGATACAATTATTTAATACATCCGATTGCTTTCACTGCCCAGAGGATGAGCATCTTAACTTAGTGATGGCCTTGTTTTGTTGATTGTCACCCATTAATTCCTCTCTGAAGGCTTTTCTCAAAGGTTAGCCTTTGTTAACTACTGTGTGTAAAGAACCTGGGTGGATTTTGTACATTTCCATGATGTATTTAGAACGGATATGGAAATATTCCCTTGAGATGTGTAATCTAAATATGAAGGGCACTATGCAAATCATGTTGGGTGGGTTGCAGGTTTAATAGCCATATAATAATAGCGACAACAGAGCTGTTGAAATCAATGATGTTTCACGACTAATCAAAGACCCACTGATTTCAATATCTCTGTCCTAAACAGGGCAAAGTGTGGAACCCAGCCCATATAACGAAGAGGAACTTGCTCCCTCTTACAGTTACAACCCAGTTCTACAACAGAACTGGGTTGTAACTTTTCTTTTGTGTAGTGGGAGTAGGCAAGACTGAGAAAACAAACCAAAATATGAAATTCAAGGAAATCCAGGCTAGAAACAGGAGGGCTACCAAAGGAGCTGAAGGGTGGAAATCCCTTTAGTCTGAGCGCCCTTCTGCTCATACAACAACTGGATGCAACCAATTACAGTATCCTTATAATCATCTTAGGCCTTTTATCTGAGTCAATATTTGAAAAATAAAGTAAAATAAAGAATATGAGCTCAGCCAAATATTTTTAAAGACACAATGTTGCATAGCACGAAGCAGTATACGATCCTGCAACACACCATATACGTGCTATAAATTCCACTGTGGTGATAAATAGATAAAATAATACCAACACGTATGCTATCTGGTTTCAATCAAGATGAGCAATGTGGATGCAAAGCCTCCATTTCTTCCCCTGCTGGCAGGGGAAGAAATTCTGCAGACACCAACTTCCATTAAAGCATTCATTTTGTGCCCCCTAGCGTGCACTGGGGTTTAGATCAAGCTTTGGTGATAAAAGCAAAGAAAAATGGCATTTCCAAGATTATCAAAATATTATCTGAACAAATTAAATTCCTTCTTGCTTTAAGTACGAACAAGCTTATGAGTCAGTGTAACACTGTGGAAAGATATGCACTCGTTTAGGTTGCAATTCTAGACAACTCTGTCTTCGAACTCACTTCTCAACAACAGTCAGAGCAGTATTCCTTGCAAGAAAAAGGCATAATCCCTGACATGCTGGTTTTCTACTTGCAGGGAATATGTTTTTGAAAAAAGTCACATACAAAATTTGGCCCAACATGTGGTACCCTCCATACTACTACCATGTATGAGGATGCTGTTGTTTCACAGTGTTGCAATCAGAAACCAGGGGTTTGCAAAGCATGGTCCTCTAGATAGTGTTTGATTGCAACTCCCAGAAGCCTTATGACTGAGGAACGCTGGGAATCTTGGTCCATCAATGCACTTGGGCCACCCCGCTGTAGATGGAGTCTGAGACACAAATTATTTTGAACACTTTATACTTGCCATCCAATGTAACACAAAGTACTTACTTCTGAGCATGCAGGTAGAAAAATATACATCATTCTATGAACTGTTACTCGATATTCCAATGAGAAGCTTACCTGTCCTTGATGGCCTCCCTTTTGCTTTTTACTATGGAGCTGGAGGTAAGAGCAGTTCTGCTGGGCTGCTAATCCCAAGGTGAGCTTGTTCTTTTCGACAAAGTCTGTTTCAGGTTCAGATCTCTTTTTATATCCTTTAATGTGAGGAGAGTAGCTGTCACTGTTTGTTCTAGGACTGCTATCATCACGGCAAGCAGTCCCCTCTTCTTCTTTATTTCGTACCCTGTAGGCACCACGGATGACTTTTCCAATGGGGTCACAAGAGTTCAAGAACTCTCCGTCAAAACCAGGTGGTACATTCCGCGCTGACTCCTGTCGTGGATGAGTCCTGTAGGTGAGACCAAACTGGGATGGACTGTAAACTGAATCCAGGGAAAGGGTGGGAGAGTTTTCAGCACACTCCGGGCATGAGTCGTCGGACCCAAGGAAGCATGTTCTCTCTTTATCATTCTTCCAGTTGGGGTTATAGCGTAATTCAGAGTATTGACCTGCAACGTTCTTTTTGTCACTGAAAAGAACCGGCACAAAGGGAAACTTTAAAACAAGAGAACTGACCCTTTTAAAGGCTGCTCCTTTAAAAAATATCAGCCGGAAACCCACTTTTCACACAATTAATTGAGAAAGAGAGATTATATTTGCTTACCTGGATCAGTGCTTAAGAAGGCAGGTACAGTAGCTATGTTTTACTGGGGCCAATGGAATGCCCCTTCAGCATGGTTTAAGCCAGAGTTAGGGAAACTTTGGCTCTCCAGATGTTGTTAGGCAGCAACTTCCATCAGCCTAGCACAACATAGCCAGTTCTTAGGGCTGCTAGAAGTTGTAACTCAACACATGGCGATCCATGCTATCTCCATTCCTAGTTCAAATAGTCACTGATGCAAAATTCTGCTCACTGCTACACAAAAGGCATCACAAATTGCCTTGTTAAAAAATCTATGTAGACATTATCTATTGCCTACTGAGTCATGTGACTTCAACGTGTGGCAGATCCTGTCTACAGAGAGATTTTAACTTGAGGCAATTTGCCTCCAAAATGTGACACCTTTTTCAATAGCGGTGCAACAGGATTTAAGCCACTGCATCAGGGAGAGGAACACGCGGCCCTCCAGATGTCATGAGACGGTTACTCCCATCAGCTCTAGTTAGCTCATCTAACAGTCAGGGACGGGAAGAGCTGTAGTCCAGCAAAAATCAGATTCTCCATCTCTGCATTGCTTGGTCACCTGTAGTAACAGTTTGCATAGTGAAGGCGCTGGGTGGAGGTTCTCAGACGATGGCCTCCATGCAGAAGGTCTCCATTGCCAGATCTCTCATGCAGGAATAAGCTGCCTTAGACAGAGGACGTCCCCTGGCCCATCTAGCCCAGTACTGTCAGCTTTGACCAATAGGGCCTCATCAGGTTTTAGGAAACCAGACCTCGGATCCCTCCTTCTAAAATCACTTAAGGCTGATACATTGTAGGTGGCATTCACCAGCCATTCTCAACCTTTTGTTAACCATGGTGCTCTTCTTGGGTTCCAGGGCCCCCTGGGAAGCAAGGAAGGCCTTCGGCTGTGTGCAAACTAGGATGCAACATGAACAGATACATCCATGGTCCCCTTCCAAGTGTGCCAGGGCTCCCCGGGGAACCATATGCCCCTGCCCCTGTTGAGAACGGCTGCTCTAGACGCTCAGGGACCAAACTCTTAGGACATGCCTTGGAAGGAGGCCAGACCGCCCAAGACGAAACCAAAGCAAGTTGTTCTGAGATGTTCAGTAAAGTGTGAATTGTTGATTTTAATAGTCTCCTAAATTTCAGCGAACGCCTTTTTGCACGCTATACTAAGGGGTGGAAATGATTGCCAGTGTTCCTAAACTGGATGGCAGCCCTCGCCTTCGCCATGATTATTCATGAATGCAAATGATATGCATGCAAGGGAGCGAATCTGAAGTGGAAGAAGCCTAGAAATGGGACTCACCTGGCTACGAACAATGGGCAATGCTGCAGACAAGAGAAGGTGGTTCTGGAAGAGGACAAAAACCCATGCACATGGCTATAAAGATGCTGTGTGATGGAGGTCAACACCATGAATCCCAGTGACGGGGGATAGCTTCCTCTCCAGAGCACTTGCAGACATACATAGGGTCCCCCTCCCGTTGCCCTGTACCCCCGTCCCTGCCCTCTTTCTCCACTAAATGAAGGTTACATTGATTCCGCAGGGCTAAAATGAGGAGACAACAGACAACAAGCTCGCCTCTTCAAATTCCTGGCTTAGTAATAGATGTAGGCAGGGAGCATGGAGACATATGGTATACTTGTCAGTGTTAATGGACTCCATTTAAGTACACACTGTGATAATTTCAAAGTACATAAAATCAAATTTCCACTAAATAGGAAGCAGGGTGCTCTGTCAGAGTCCTGCCCCCTCTGCTAAGGCCAGAGCATGCCTCCCTCACAATTCACATCCTTTTCCACTTGCAATCAAAATGCTGAATAACTGGCCACTTTCCCCCCATCGAGGAGCCCTCTGGAAAGTGCACTATTAATAATTTAGTCCTCTTTTCTTTGTCCCACGTTTGCTTCTAAGCACACTGTTAAATGGAATCTGTTTATCCTTTTTTTTCATTCAGGCTTAATTTAATCCCTTTAAACAACAATTATTTCGCATTTATGCGGCATTAATGCTCCAACCAACGCAACAAATCCAGTTTCTGTTTGTGCAGAAGAGGAAAATTAATGTATCTCTGAAAAGCAAGTGAGGACGACAAAACAAGCACTCTGGATTTCTCCCCCCCTCCCTTCTTTCAGTTTTGCATTTATGTAGTTATTGAATTAAAAACGGGGACAACTCTTCCCCTGGCGTTTTTCCAAAGATCTTTCCAATTGGTGATGTTTTCTGGGCACATTTAAAAACCTCCTTGAAGGCTCCAGCCCTAGGTCTACTTATTTGAAATCAATGGGACTTATGCCCATTTGCAGCTAGCTATTTGCTCACCACTGTGTTCCTGTAGCCACTTGTAAGCTAGTTGCTTGCATTATCCAGCCAAGAGGAGGATTTCACCAGGATATAAAAGCAGGAAACCATTACTGTCCAAGCCTCAAACAAGGAAGGCAGCCCACAAAACAAGGGTAAAGAAAACTGCCATATTTATTCATAGAAGCACCTCAAGTTCTTGTAACACGTAAAATGTTTAAAGTAGAAAGACTATATATGTCAGGGACAACTAATACAAACCAGGTCTCCTAGATCTGGTGGGCTGAGAATTTTCTTCCTCCCTGTGTTGGAGATTTTCTTTTTCGGAATGATTCATCCTCCCTCCACAATGCCAATGGGAAATAAAAATAACGATACCATTTCCAGGCAGACAGAGTACAGGGGCTCTGTTTTGCGACTGGTCTCCAAGAGTCAAACACACCCCTCCTTTGCAATTCTGACCTTGTAGGTTGGAAAGGCTACCTAGAACATGTCTCTAGAAACCTGATGTGATTTCAACTCCATTGGTCCATTACCCATAACATACAGTTGGAACCTCAGTCTCTATAACTACAAGTCGTGTTGCCTAAAGAGAACCTCCTTAGGTGAAGGCAGTTTACCTCAAGGGAAAACAAAAGAAGAAGCAGTTGACTTCATGCTCAGCAAAGGTGTATATCTCAGACGAGACACCCAGATCTTTGTCTTAACCAACATGGCTCTCCTTAGATCTGACTCTAGATTTATAGCAGGACTGAAACAAGAACTATGGAGCCAGCTTCCATGTCCATATTGTAAAAATATAAAACTTATTTACCTTGCATTAATACAGTTTTCCTTTCCATGGTGGGTTCCATTTGGAACATGTGTTTCATCTACATCTGACTCCTCTCCACTAAAATATTTTTCTTCTAGGCTATCCTCCTCCAAGCTTTCTTCAGCTTCCTCCTCTTCATAGGACTGATCTACCATCTCTTCAGTTTTATTGATCCGTTTCTGGAGCTCAAACTGATACTCTATTTCCTGAGCTAGGCTTTCAGACTCAGATTCGTCCTGAGATAACCCTTCAGAGGCTGTTTTCAAAAAGGAGTAATGGACGTGAGGCTGGAGCAACCCTTTCGAGGATGGCCTCTCTCCATTCATGATGCAGACAGGGTCAAAGTGAGCGGGAAATTTCACTGAACCTCCGACACCGCCTTTCTCCTGTAAGACAAATAAGACAACACTACAATTATTATTGTAGGACAAGGACAGAGGACGAGATGGATGGACAGGGTCATCGAAGCGACCAACATGAATTTGACCCAACTCCGGGAGGCAGTGGAAGACAGGAGGGTCTGGCGTGCTCTGGTCCATGGGGTCACGAAGAGTCAGACATGATTTAACGACTAAACAACAACAACAACAAAAAGCTGGGGGGATGCATTGTCCTTGAAACTTTGTTTGAAGGGGGCATAAACAAGAACAACAATGATTATTGTGGTTGACTCTGTGTGCAAGGCTGTTTTCACTGGTGAGAGGTTTTTAAAAGCCATTTTGTTTGTTTACAGTTTTACATAAATATGAATAGTTCGTTTTTATGCTCGTGAATGAAAAAAAAACCAACAGTTTAAAATAAATAAATAAATAATCTAGAATCTCCTTGGTATCTTGAAAACTTTTAACCTCCACCTCCCCAAACCTAGCTTTTGTTTTCAAAATAATGTTTAGTCCAAATGTGAATACCTTGATAGCGTTGGAAAAATGAGTGGGCCTTCCATATGTCTGAATCACTGTTATTTAATGAATTCTAATGAATGAATTAATTAATAATAAATTAATTCACATCGTGACCTTACCAGATATGCCAAATTATAGCACATCACTCTGAGTCCAGTTTCTTGTTTGCCATACCGGCATCTTCATAGCCTTTTTTGGGATGGCTAGGTGATGTAGCCAATGGTCTGAAGACCCTGGTGTGACCCACAATATACGCGAGGCTACAATCCTCTGCGTGCTTCAGTTGAACTCAACAAAAACTCAAAAGCAACAACTTGACAAGTTTAAAAGCAACCTGCATGATTATTTATTTATCTATTAGGAAACTGTGTATCCCCTAGTCTTCAACACAGGGTGCTCCCCCGCATTAAATATATATACACGATATACAGAAGACCACCAGCCATCGGCTGCAACACACACACACACACACACACACACACACTTTTATACATTTTTTTTAAAAAAATCGGTGGGACAAAACACAGCGGCACGAATACCACCCGAGGCTGGGTGTCTGTGCCTGCGGGTGTGTGCATGTGTCCCCTGAGCTGCCTGGCCCTCCCCTTGCCCGCTCATGGAGGCACGGTGGGCAGAAATCCAACAGGGGAAGCCCTTGCACCACTGCCTCGGGTGAATTCTGCAGGGGGAGAACCTCTGCCAGGAAGGAAAGAGGTGCAACCCTTTCTCTCCCTGGTCCTCGGGGGGGGGCACAGCAACCCCTCTTCCTTCCTGAGCCCCCCCTCTCCAAGGGACCCCACCACCACCCACCACCTGCCCCTTTTCCCTTCCCGGCTCTCTCTAACGTACCTTTCCAGGGCAACGCCACGGGGGGTATTCACAGAGCCGCCCTGCGCCGTTAGCGTCCCGTTCCCATAGCAACAGTACACAGAGGCGCAGCACCCACCTTCCTTCCTCGGCCTTTCTCCCGGCAGCTACCAACCCTCCAAGAGAGAGGGGGGTGGCCAGCAACGCCCAGTTTTTATACAGGCAGAGGGAGGGTGGTCTCTTCCAGGGCTCGCGGGTGCCTCTTCTCTTACTTACCCTCTGGCTATGCAAGCGCAGTCGTTGTTAAACCCCATCCATCCAGCCTGCTCCTTTCAAACTGCAGACTACAACCCCCATCATCCCCAGGCAGGAGAGCCCCGTCGCCCCTTGGGCTGGGGGTGATGGGGACTGTAGTCTGGCGACAGGGCAAGGGCGCAGATGGGGAGGGGGAGGGAAATGGGTTGCAAACGGGTTTAAATTAAGAGATTAAAAAACAAACAAACTGGTAAATCAGCCGGGAGGCATCCCAGATCAAGCAAGACCCTTTTGGTTTTTTTGTTTGCAAGGTGTACTTTGGTGCATTTAAATATGCACTACGCCTGGTTTTTTTTTGTCATATATTTTGTTGTGTGACAGAACACACCTAGAAGTGGAGAGGAGAGGGGCTGCGCTAGCTGTGGTGTCCCACATCCTCTGTCATGCACAACAACTCCCACCATCTTTTATCACTGGCAATACCAGCTGCGGATTCAAGGGTGTGTGTGTGTTTCTGCACTTTCAGAAGTAGACTTTAGAAAATGTGTGTGTGTGAACCTGTGTGTGAACCTCCTCAAGGGGACTAATTTTTGCCTCCCAGGCTTCTTCTCCTGTGGGTATTGGCTTGGCTTGGCTTCCTTTCTACTAAGGAAGAGATTCAGTAATCTCTGGCTTTTGGGGAGAGGTCCCGTTTGCAGCTTTGTACCTGAAAACAACAACAACAACTGGCCATTAACTTCTCCCCCCTCCATCATCCCCACCTATATTTTTATATAGGCAGATGATTCCCTGTCCTAGATACCAACCCTCCCCAGATGTTCCTCCCTAGTAATGATAATGATGATGATGATAATGATAGATTTTTGATTAAAACTTGTATCTGTTATTTAATACCAGTCAATGTTTTATAATTTGACTGACTGTGTCAGGTGTAATAATAATAATAATAATAATAATAATAATAATAATAATAATAATAATAATAATAATAATAATAATAATAATAATAATAATAATAATAATAATAATAATAATAGAACAAGCTGGAATTTTTCAAAATACCAGCCACATATAAAACATCAAAATATATAAATATACAGAAGTGTACAAAAATATTGGGATCGAATGCAAAGCAATAAGCAGTTCTGAAGTGAACAACAACAACAGCATCAAAACATCTCCCCTAAAGCCATTCCAAAATGTCTTGCAAACCATGCTAATACTGTAATAATGTGCCATCAAGTCGATTCTGACTTATGACAACCCTTTTTCATGTTTTTCCAGGTAGAGAATACGACAGAACTGGTTTGCATGGCTTTCTTCGGAGGTCAATTTGTGACGGTGCAACTGGCCCAAGGCCCCCCAGGCTGGCTCTGCTTCACAGGAGGCCCAGTGGGGGAATCGAACTCTCAACTTCCAGCTCCACAGCCCAATAACTAAACCACTGAAGCGTCCAGCCAGCTAAAAATGAATATGCCACCTCTTTTAGCTGTCAGGGTGCAGCAGTTCATGAAAGGGTGACCTCACCCTTCCCATCTACCGTTTGGAGAATAATAAGTCTGACCTCCTTTGCAAAACAGTTGCAAGGAACTGTGACAGTTTCCTGAAACGATGCTCATGGATGCCTGAGATACTCTGATGTAATAAATCAATGCAACATATTTTATTACATGAGAGGCTAAATAACAAAATATAAAAGCTGCACTTTTGTATAGACTTGTAGGATTCCTTATGCATGAGTTACTTTTGTAGTCCAAAATTCACTGATTTTTGAAGATTTTTTTTCCCCCGAGTGGTGCAGTGAAGAAAGATTTCCCTGCTCGCCCAGTGGCACCAAGTAACATCTAGTGTATGCAGTTGAAAACAGTCAATAGGCACTGATGATTACAAGTCAGTTTCTTTAATGTAGGGCACTTGTTTCTCAAATACAGAAGAATCTTGACTCTCTTCTGAATTTTTTGATGTCCTTGAGCATGATCCGTGAATTACATACTTCTTACTGGTTTTCCAAGGAATGACTGGATTTTTTAAAAAAAGCAAAAAAGAGAAATAAATATTATAGGTTGGGGTGCATGTGCTAATTTTGTACAAATAAGAATGCTAATAGTATGAATTTTCATCATATGAGCATCTCGACAAATAACTTCTGGTAGCATTAATCTAAAGGAGAGCCTATACAGACAAAACTTCTGGATAGCTCAGTGGCTGAGGTCTCTAGCTACAGAACTAGAGGCTGGGAGTTTGATTCTTCTCTGTGCCTCCCCCAGACAGGGCCTGGACTCCATGATCTATTGGATCCCTTCTAGGTCGGCAGTTTTAAGATGATGATGAGGGACATATTGAACCTTTTCAGGCTCTAAGACTGGCTTCAGAAGCTCTGCTGTCCGCCCATCATTCAATCAATTACGTTGGCATTAGCTACAGAACTAGAGGCTGAGAGTTTGATTCTTCTCTGTGCCTCCCCCAGACAGGGCCTGGACTCCATGATCTATTGGATCCCTTCTAGGTCGGCAGTTGTAAGATGATGATGAGGGACATATTGAACCTTTTCAGGCTCTAAGACTGGCTTCAGAAGCTCTGCTGTCCGCCCATCATTCAATCAATTACGTTGGCAGGTACCATGGACAGATCTTTTCATTCATAGCAGCATTTAAGACTCATTCATCCCCTAAGAATTTCATTTTGGCTACAAAATGAGTGATGCAGCTTAAATAAGTCACAGGCATGAATTTTAGACAAAGGGGGAAACGTGGCAAGGAGTTCCACAGCCTTGCTGGCATGTCCTGTTCTTACAGCCGCCTCTCACATCACACAACTATTTCTGCAACATAACGGCCAGGAAGAGTCCTATAAATAGACCAGTGTTGGTCCAAAGACTTGCTAGCTGCTTGCCAACCATGCCCAGGTTGCTTCTACACATTTATACTGGCTTATTTCAACTTAAATAAACATGGAGTCTGCATACTGTGTTGGTTTTTCTCCTGCTGAAGATGATCATCATTTGGCTTGGATCTGTTACTTTCCAGTGTCTGTTCCAAAATATCGTTTTCTACAAAGACAAGATTCAGAAAGGAGAAGAAAAATAGCTGTGAAGTTCTGCTAGGCTTTGTCAGGAAGAGGCAGAAGATATTTCTATAGAAGAGGTTGCATTTCGACATATACTGCTGGAAATAAGTCTGATTGATTTCGGAGCGAGCTACTGGGTACCTATAAAGACGGCCCTGCCATTCAAAGCTGTTAGCATCATAATTACACCTTTTGTGGCTGCTATAGTTTCCCTAGCACCTGTCACTCTGCCTAACGGTAGGGCTAGCCCTAGATCTCACATACGTATCTCACATACGTAGGAAATGAAAACTATTTCGACACTTTGGGTCAGACAAGGATTTGTCAATAATTCTAAGTAGGTTGAATGTAGCAGGTAGATGCAAGAGCCAAATAGAGGAGCAACAGCAAGGAGAAAAATGTTCTAAATTAATATAACAATATAAAGTGACAGAAACGGTTGATATTAAAAGAGAGTAGGTAACCGGGGAGAGGGTGGGTGTTTCAGGTCATGTTTTCCTGTGACAAAAAAGGGTGGTTGCCTTATGTCTGTCTGTCAAGCCATCCAGAGGAAACGCTCGCTTCTTAATTGGATTCGGCCATAGACCCTTACCTTTCTTCCACTCTTGGTGCGCCTTCCACAGTTTCATTGCAAGGAGGAGGACGATAATGAGCAAAGCAAAAAGGAGCCCAGTCACAAGGACGGGGAACAAAACGCTCCGGTTCTTCTTGAGGATTTCTTTATAGGTAAGGTTTGCTTCTGTTAAAAACACACACAAACACACCAATGAGTTTTAACGCTGTTGAGTACTGTCTCCTAGCAACAAAATGTTGTCGTTGGTGTGCCGAGGAAAACACGACATTCTTGCAAACAGCCCTGTTCTTTGAGGGGGAAATAGCTGGATTCTACAGAAGAAAAGGAGGCGGCTCTTTCCCCATAAGTGAGACTGTGCAAAATGTGGCTTCTGCCAGCCTTCCCTCTCATGGTGTCCTCCATGTGTTTTGAACTACAACTCCCATTGTCCCCAGAAAACTTGTGGAGAATGGGGTTTGCAAGTCAACCTATCTGCAGGCCAGTGGGTCAGGGAAGACAGGCCTAGATGATAAGGAATCATAGTCAATATATGTTGAAATAATGTTTTATTTATTAATTTATTTTATTTCATTTCTGTGTTGGCTTTCTCTCGATGAACAGACTCAAGATGGCACACCAATGGCTAAAAAAGGACATACAACTAAAAGAGTAAAAAAGTAAGAAAACATAATAGTGTTTTGCAAGACCACCCATTTTAAAGCGGGTTTGAAAACTTTCAAAACATGGTGGCTGAAATCTTGTTGGTTCACATAGTAAGCAGGACCATGGAATCAGTGGGAATTTTGTCCCGTGCAAGTGATTCTTGTTCCTACTGAATACACTGCGCGATAAGATTAAAATATTCCAGACTGAAACTCCGTTCTGGGTTGCCCAGTTTGATGGCTGAAAACCGAGACGCTATGAAGGAGGCCAGTCGGGTCTCCTGTGGGAGGGAGTTCCACAGTGCAGGAGCAGCTGTTGAAATAATACTCGCTCACTTCCTCACCCAGCATGCCAGTGGAGGTACAAAAGGCTCTGTCTTAAAAGCTAGAAAGCTCCTATGGGGGGATGTGGTTCTTCAGAGAGCCTCAATCTCAATTATATTGGGCTGTATAGATCATGACTAGCTCTTTTAATCGGGCCTGGAAACTGACTGGTGGCCCTTGACAATGTTTAGAGAGTTACAGGCTTCCCATCACCAGCCACAGTCCACAGTCTGGATGTTCAGTTGTGTTAATTTACCGTTCGTTATCTGAGAACTTAGAGTTGCCACATCAGTGCTCAGTGGTGTTGTTTGTGCACTAAAATTTCCTTCCGTTGCATTCCATGTGCTGTTGGATTCTGCTGGAATGAAAAGGCGGGGAAAGTTACTTTTTTCCCCCCAAAAGCCAGGAGGAACAAATAATGCACCGCTGATGATTGCAATGGGTCAGCTTGAAGTCAGCTGGGTGTGTAAGACAACCGATCAAGGAACATTTAGCTGTGCTAATTTACCATCCGTTGTCTGAAAGTTCAAGATCTGCGTGGAAGCACTTGAGGATGATGTCCTTACACCTGAAGGTCCTTTGGTGACATTTAATCTTTTGTGGGGGGCTGTTAAAATGAAAACACAACAAAACAGAATAATGAATGAAGAATATCCTATGGTATTATGGTAGATGACCTGAATTAAGCAAACATTAATTTCTTATTTTTTTTAATGGGTTGTAACCTTATTTCTATATACCATTGTTTGTGTTAGAAGTCAGAGGTGGTGTTTCAGTGCTTGCAGAAGGCGCTTGTCCACTAGACTTTGCTTCTGTTGTATTTAACTGTTGTTCTGAATCTGTAGAAATGTGAAAAGGGAGTGTTATTGATTTAATGTGGACAATGAAGAAAGCTAACAGGAAAAAAGAGTATTTTTTTTTTTAATTCAGTATTGGGGAGAGTTGTGTGGACTGTGAGAAAGACTAATAAGTGAGTCTTAGATCAGAATAAACCTGGATTCTCACTAGGTGTTAAAATGATTAAACAGAGGCTATTGGCTTTAGACATTAAACAAGACAAGATTTGCTGGAAAAGACAATAAACTAATAAAAGTGGAAGGCAGTAGGAAAAGAGGAGGACCTAACGTTGGGTGAATTCACTCAATAAAGGAAGCCACAGCCTTGAGTTTGCAAGACCTGAGCAAGACTATCATTGCAAGACTATGATAAGACCTTTAGAGGCCATTAATTCATAGGAAGGCGTTAAAGTAATTGTCAGCACATTAAAACATTTGCTTTAATGATCGAACATCAATGCATGTACAGTATGTAAGAACTCAGGAATAGTCACAGTACGTTATACCAAAGATTTCTGATACAGAATTATTTAACAATTGCAATAAACACTGGTTTGCCCCCCCTCTGCCGAAACCAGTGTGTGTAAATTGTGCTGTAATCAGAACCCATTCAGTTCTGTTGATCTGTACAAAACCTTGGATAATTCTTTAATTCTGTATTCCAAAGGCAGACTGGGATACTTTAAAACTTGACTATATTGCTAAATAACCCTAACATACCATTGAGGGTAGAATTTGAACTCAGAGTAGCTGCTCCTGCACTTGGAGAGGGTGTTGATATATTCGAATGTTCTTCAGTCCCATTTAATATTTTTTCCAAAGCTGTGGAAATAAAGAGAGAACAGTTATTCCTTCTCTTGGTCTCAGATGTATAAACCTAACAGTAAATGCTCAAAGTCATATAGGTCACCTTATAACTGGAATTTCAGTGGATAACCCGAGATTTGTGGGGTGTGTGATCAGTAAATGCTCGAAGTCATATAGGTCATTTTATAACTGGAATTTCAGCGGATAACTCGAGATTTTAACCGTGGTGTGTGTGTGTGTGTGTGTGTGTGTGTGTGTGTAAGCTTCCCTGCCCTTTTCCTTCACACACAGGAAAAGTGCCCTGTATTGCCACCAGGTCATTCCAGCTGATAAAAAAGTGGAGGCGACACAATAGCTCCATAGGATTGAGTGCTTCTCTTGTTCAATTTCAGCTTCGTTCAGCTTCTGATTACAACAATCAAAGGGCTGAAACCCAGGAGACTTGCAAAGGTTACAGGAAAATTGGTTGTGTTAGAATTTGCAAAAACAAGTTCAGCTTACACCATGTCCGGATGGGGGTGGGCAATATGTGGGTGGCATGCCCTTGTTGTCCCCCCCACCCTTTTCAGGTTTGCTGCTGCAAGACCAGTGAAAGTAGAGTAAAATCACTTTTTTTCTGATTTTCTGCTTGAGGGGGACACCTTGTTTTTAAGGGGGTTTGTATTGGAAGCCTCTGGGAAGTCCAGTTCTCATGAAGAACAAGATATGTCACAAGCATTACACTGTGGCAGATGTTGTTGAACCCAAACTCCCATCGGCTGCCTCTAGGGTAGCCAACGGTCAGGAAAAATCAGACCACAGTTTGAAAGCAAGCCCACTCTTTGAAGAAAACAACACAAACTCAGTTCTGTATGCTACTATGCAAACGGTCATCTATACAGACAGAATGAAATAATTTCCCTTGACTAAAAAAGTTCATCGTGCCATTTTTAGATTACAAATCCCATAATCCTCCATTCTATGAATTCCATGTGACAGACCCACAACTACAGACAGCTATGTTTGGCTCACTTGGGGGAAAGGCCATAGTCGGGAAAGCTCTCCTCTTTCACCCCCATTAAGAGGTTCTTTAATTCTTCCTCACTTTCTGCCATCAGAGTGGTATCATCTGCATATTGGAGGTTGTTGATATTTCTTCCGGCAATCTTAGTTCTGGCTTGGGATTCATCCAGCCCAGCCTTTTGCAGGATGTATTCTGCATATAAGTTAAATAAGCAGGGAGACAATACACAGCCTTGTCGTACTCCTTTCCCAATTTTGAACCAATCAGTTGTTCCGTATCCAGTTCTAACTGTTGCCCCCTGTCCCACATATAGGTTTCTCAGGAGGTAGACAAGGTGCTCAGGCACACCCATTTTTTTAAGGACTTGCCATAGTTTGCTGTGGTCCACACAGTCAAAGGCTTTTGCATAGTCAATGAAGCAGAAGTAGATGGTTTTCTGGAACTCTCTGGCTTTCTTCATAATCCAGCGCATGTTAGCAATTTGGTCTCTAGTTCCTCTGCCCCTTCGAAATCCAGCTTTTACTTCTGGGAGTTCTTGGTCCACATATTGGCTCTAGTCTGGACTAAATGTTATGTTCCTACTTCCTCCCTCTTAGAAACCACATGTGGCTTATTGTGTTGGTGTGAGCACACTGTTAGTGTTACACAAAGTCAGTTGCCTCTCTGGGAACGCCATACTTACCTGAGGCTTTGGAGTACAAAGTTACTGTTAATTTTTCTTCTCCCAGAGCTTCATGGCGTATAACACAAGATATGGGAGACCTCCAAGTGTATGTCTGGACTGAAATGATGCTGATTGAATTAAATTTCTTGGCTTCCAGCTGGTTGTCCATATCACCTATAATACAAAAGCCAGGGAAAATAATTCCTATAGATAAAATATCACATGAAATTTGGAACATCTGTTCAGAACAGTTTTAAAGAATATTTTTATGATTAGTTGGAATCAGTACCTGAAATTCATATCTTCAACCGTACAACCGTGTCCTGTCAATTCTTCATTTCCCCTTCCCTTTTGACTCCTGCATTTTCCCATTTCTTTTTTTCTCTCCTCCTGAAACCACCCATTTTGAACTTTGCTTTCTATGAACCTGCTCTGTTGACCTCTCTTTTTCTAACCCCTTTCCTGCCATGAACCAGAGCAGCTAAGTATGTGCCAGTGACCCTTCTGATTGGCTAGCTTCCCTGCAACCCTCAGGCAGGTAAGCCAATGGCTGCCAGCATCTCCATTTATTTTTACTGTCACCACATGTATATATTTGGTGCCTTCCTCTGCTGATACATTCAGAACGAAGACCTTTGATATATTTTCAGTGTAACCCAGCAGTAGTATCTTTATATTTACAACAACAGATATAGTCAGCATTTGCTGCTTAAAAAAAATAATGAATGTTAGGGAGAGAAATCCATTAAGGTATATTTGGAAGAGAAACAGAAAACAAGACGATTAGATGCATACCACAAATACAATGGTTGAAGTTGATTTGTTTACTCGTAATCTTACTTTCCAATCCTGTACGCAATTTTGATTCTATGAGATAATGTTCTGCTCAAGCTACATTTGTGGGATCATCTGGTGATAGGATGAAGTAGCATCCTGTTTTCAGGATGCCTGTCACTGTATTTATCCTGATTTTTAAGAAGTGCATGAAAAGTTGAAATATATTATTATCAAGAAGTAAAGGACATGAAACATACCAAGTAGTTCTACCCCACTGTCCAGGAGCCACATGATCTGAGGAGGGGGCTTACTCCCCCAGGCAGAGCACCTCAAAACAGCATTTTCTTCTTGGTTGTCAACTCTCACCCGCGATACTTCTAACATAACCTTGGAGGGGGCAGCTGGAACAGGATGACACGTGGTCAGATTCAGAGGTTGTAGTCTTTGCACCAACAACTTTATCATAGGAAAGAAGGTGTGGTCAACTCCCAATGTCTAAGCATCTCCAGACATTAAACCGACTCCTTATATATATATTTTAATTATTAAGTAAGTTGAAAGACAACAACAGAACAGAGTAAGAGAAAACATGGCATTATTGGGTACAGGCAAAAATTACGACTGAGAAGATATTTCCTGGACGATGGCTAAAATAGTGCCACTACATTGAACCTGAGTGTACCTTCTCAGCTTCACAACTGTTGGGTTAAGCACCTTGACTCTCACTGCCTCTTCTCTTCTTTCACTTGGCATCTACCAGTATCTGGAGCCAAGGATATATTATGTGCCAGGAGTAGCTGCCAAGGTTAGAAGGGTGAACAGCTGTGTTGTGTAGGAAACCACCATGGCCACAGGTTGGAGAGCCTCCCAGGACAAGGAGGCATCACCCATTGATCTGAATTGACCACTGGCTTGCCTGAAGAGCAAGGGCTATAAAACTGGAACTTTCCTTGGGCCGTGGTCATCCTCAGTGAGTTTCAGCAAACGGCCTTCTGACGCCTGGCTCAACAGTTGGAGCCTGTCCTGCTCAATGACCGCTCCCATCTTATCCCTCCCATCTTGGCATCACAACCACTTTCTTGGAGCCTGGAGTCCAGGGACTCACCCAAGACAGTGACTTTAACTTGCTTTCTTCTGATTCGGCTACTGTAGCTGAAGCACGTGTAGACTCCTTCATCATGGACTGTCACATTGGACAGACGAATGGATAAAGCATCATTTGAATAATGCGTAATGGTGTACCTCTGGTCTCTTATCCCTGTTTACAAACACAAAAAACAAAACAGGAGAAGCAGATGAGTGTGAAAGACTGCAAAACCCCATGCTTAAAAGAACTGTACTGGGATATGTCTTATTATGAAGGAATGGATCCAGAAATGGGCAGTGTTTCAGAAGCCAAAGGGAGCTTTTTTAAAGCCACATTGTGTGAGGTGGGGTGGTCAGAGGCAATATTCATCAGGATGAATCTAGTAGCACATTGGTGGTTAATAAACCTATAGAGGCACAGGCTTTCCCAGGCTGGATATTTCCTGGTCATGCGTAGAGTGTTCTTCTCTTGATAGAGACCGTGTTGCTTTCATTTTTTTTCTTTTTTTTAAACTGCAGAGGCCGTGCTAAACCCACTGGAAGAAACTGCTTGTATTCACACATTCTAACCACAACAGTGGGTCTTCCGTGACATTGACATCTTGCAGGAATGTACGAGGACGCAGTTGTGTTGTGGTGTTTGACTCAAAGACACAGAAAGAAAACCCACTTCTTCCTTTGTCGCAGTGTGGGGGGGAAATTGTTTCATAGGGGGACCAACGTTCTCCTGCACTTACCTCGCCATGTCTGGAAAAAAATCACAAACTCTCTAGGGTTCCTCCATTCCAGAACAGATCCATTGTGTGCAGCCATGACACAACGCAGGTCCAGATTCTGCCCCTCCACTACCGTCAAAGTCTCCTGTTCGAAAGCACCTGCCAAAGAAAAGAGGTTCATGAGGCGCCACTCCTGGGTGATCAACGGGGTCTTCTTCGGAGTGAAAACATTTAAACATCTGCTTTAAAGATCATACCTTATGTGGCCCAGTTACTCAAAACGGGGCCTTCTCTGTGATGGCCACGTCACTTTTAGAATCCCCTCCTCTCAGAGGGGCAGCAGGCTCTATTCCTCCTTGGTTTTAGGACTCAACCAAAGACCTGGCTCTTTTCATAAACCTTTCTATAGCCTTGCCCCAAATTAAGTAATTTTTAATGACTTTTGATTAATTTTCATTTTGCTTTATGACTACTTCCATTCTGAATTCTTTCTGCCAGCTGCCTATTATTTTTTTCTTTTTTGGTCATTTTTCCCTGTGCTTTTTGTTCTTGTACTTTTAGTACAATTTTTAGTAAAATTTTCTAAATCTTCTTGTTGTTTTTATTATTTCTGTCATCATGTAATTTTTGCTGTTCCTCTCTTAGCTGCCACTAGTGGGGTGGGATAGAAATGTAAACAAACAAACAAACATCGGTATTGGTGGGAACATCGTTTTTTAAGATGAAAAGTTATTTATTTTAGACTCAGATAGAGAGTTTAGACAAATGCGCGCGCGCGCACACACACACACACCAGATAGTTTAGACAAATGCGCGCATGCACACACACACACACCCCACCCTCATTATGAACATAGAATTTCATTATGGATTTTAGCCCCAAAAAGGGGTGGGGAAGGCATGAGGTGAGAGCATGCTTCAGGAAAAGTAATCTGGGAGGGGGACATTTTCCCATCGGCTCAACCAGCAGCTGCATCACGCCACTTACTCTAGTTCTCATTTGTCAGATTCTAATTCTATTTACTCTCGTTATTGAAACAACAGAAATAGGCAAGAATGTATAAAATCATTAATATGATACAAAACCCGAAATACAGGTAAATTGCTCTCTGCGTTAAGTGTCTTGGGGCACATTCTAAAACGCAGCAATTCAATTCAGGCGTAATAGCCCATGTTGACAGATGCATGAAATATCTAGAAGTTCAGGTAAAAGACCATTAGATGAGGTTGGATTCTGACCCCGCCATCTGTATGTTCACTTTAACCATGTGTACTGCTGTTTATATGAGTTTGCCATTGGTGTGCATAGGTTACAAACAAAGGTTATGGAACTCTAACACACACAAAAAACACACACACAAAAGACTAAGCTGGGTTTACATTAGTGCTGCCTGAAAGGTCTCTGTTTGTGGTTTTGCATGAGACCAGTCTATAGTTTCCGGCCACAAGCATGAATGTGGGACAGCAATAAATTCCAGTCTTGAACTGAGATAGGGGATGGAAAAAACCACAAAACTCTGAAAAATTACCTTTTTGGACTTACAACAACTCATCCGATGCTTTCGATTTTTAAACTGCCATGGAATAAAGCAGTAGCTATAGCATTTTAGTTGCTTCCTGTATTCAGTTTATGCAGTTTGCACAATGTCACACAGCATGATTTATGCAGTTTGTGCAAATATATATTGTTCTCCAAATCTTAACTCTTATGGGAAAAAAGCTTGCCATTTTCATCATCCTCGGCACCTTACATTAAACCCTAAAGCCAGCAAGAATTAAGTTGCAGGTGACATGAGATAATCTTCTGCCTGATACCTTGGTGAGCTACTAGCTGGTCCCCAGATGTTCTTGGACTAAAACTCCCAGAAGCTTTTACTACGAGTTGTGCTTGCCAGGATTTCTGGGAGCTGTAGTCCATGAACATCTGGGGAACACTGGGCTAGTTGGACTTGAATTTCTATAAGGCAGCATGTTGGATTCATGTTGGCTCCTAATTTTTATCGGAGATCCCGTTAAGAAAGGTGTTTGCAGTGTGGTTGTAGAAAGAAATAACCATAGTGACGTATAGATGATTATGATGATATTTTTTTGACTGCAGTGCCTTAAACCGCCATGTTAGCCAAGGGGAGCACAAGTTGTAGAAGGGTCGTAGAAACGATCTGTTATACAGCTATAGTTTGTCATTATAATTATTGTTATACAAAAATGAAAAAATATGCAATCACCACTCCCACGCCCCTGATCCTCTTTATTTCTAGATTTCTAGTTGATCCCGCATGCCTAATCATGACTACCGTGTGTATAAACGTATGGCTGGAACTTCACCATCCCAAGCAGCTGAAAAAGTGGATTGTGAAAACTCCTGCCATAACAAGTCTGAAAAGTGCTGGAAGATGTAACTCTCCTCTCCTCTCCTTTCTATTTACTTACTTTGTTTTACTGGAATAGATTAACATGGCCATGTCTTTGCAAAATCGCTGGCGCGCAAAGAAGTCCCTGAAGCTAGACAGTTCTCCTGTCACAACGAATAAAGTTGTCGTCAGTTACATACCTTGTAGTGGGAATAAAGCCAACACACATAGCATGGCAATGAGGGGCATGTTGCGGCGGTGTTTCCTGCTTCACTGGCGGCCCCTGCGTGATGCTGAGCAAGCTTCCTCTTGTATCTTCTGAGTCCAGGGGCCTACAGGTGGGCCGTCCTTTTCAACGGGGGCCCCCCAAATGGCACGTCCCATGACTTCATCCCTCAAAGGGGGCTGACTTTCCTTCTGCAGCCCCCACCTACCTTCACACCTTGCAAACAAGGCACTTTCCTTTGCGATGCCAGCCGAGAAAGTTGTGGCCTCTTGGAGGACGCTCTAAAATTAACTTTTTCTGTGGTCACTGCTGACATCAGGCAGCGAAGTGGAGTGCTCTTTAAAGGCTGCGTTTTTGCACTTCACACTTTTGCCGTGCCAAGAGGCGTGTTGCAAACATCTCAGGCAAAACGATTTCCCCAAACTGTATGGTTGAAGCGATTTTGCATCCATTGACACCAAGCTGGCAAGTTCATCAAGATGCCCAAGTTCTTGAATTTATCATTTGCCTCCATCCACGACATCACAATTGCTTTTTCATTCATTCAGCTGGTGTGCTGAAATCCTGAGCCACATATCCAAAGCTTTGCCCATTTTCTGGCTGCCTTTGTCACCCGGGGTGGGCCAGTGGGTCTCTCTAGCAGTGTTCTCTCCCTGGTAGTATTCTGTCCCCATAGGGAAGCTCACCTGCCCTCCACCTTATCCTTCCAGCAGAAGGCAAGAAACCTGAAGCAATTCCCCCCATTGAGCTTCTAAACTGTTTGGAGATGCATCTCATTCTGTTGGAATATCAGTTCTGCATTGTCTGATTTAATTTTTTGATTTTAGTTGCTGATATTCTGTTTATTATTGAAAATACTGCATGCTGTTCAGCAGTGGCAGCTCCTCCATTAATGGGAGCGGAGCATGGCCCCATGTCAATGCCAGGCTATGCTGAGCCACCACAGTCCTGCCAGCCTCCTTACTAGTAGCAGAAGGCCTGCCTGCTTGCCTGCCTGCCTGCCTGTAGTATCCACTGCCCATGTGAGTATATGTACCTCCTTATCTGTGGGATCAGTATCCACTGATTCACTTACCCACAGTCTGAAAATATTAAGAACATTAAAAGAAAAATGCCATATATATTTTTAACAATGAGGTTACAAGACCTGGCTACTAGAGAGAGCAAGAGACCAAGCCATGTATACTAGTGTTCACTACAGAAATATATTTCCATGATGTCATTACCATTACTGGCCATTAGAAGGAGCCAAAGACCATACTATATATAGGATTCACTTTTATAATCACATTTGCTATAATTTGTATTTTACAGCATCTGATCAGAGCTGATCTTCCATGATACAAGGGTCCTACTATATATGTATACATTGTGTGCATGTGTGCACATAAACATGGGAACACCCACTTCCCCCTCTCCCCTGTCTTTGTCCACCCTTCTTTGTTCTACTTCTTGCTCCAAGGAACCCAACGCCTGCTCCTGAGGGTTTTTCAGCCTTCCTTAAAATATTTTACGACTTCACAGAGGGCTGAAGGGAGAAGAAGAGGTCACCAATTTTGCCCAAGTAAATGGGATGCAGAAGAGACACACCACTAGATCTTGGCCCATATAGATCGCGTAGCTTTTGTGGAAGGAAAAGCACCACCAGACACTTCCGGGAGAGTAAATAGGAGAAATGCTTACTTTTTTATTGAGATGATGAGTGGTTTTCTAGTGACAGAGTGTGGGAAATGAGCCATTAACATGAACAAAACATAAGCAGCAATAATGCCTCCCGTTTAAAAAAAAAATCGACAGGATCCTAATGAAAAACCTATAAAGGAGACATATAGTTTTCCCTTTACACTGTAAAGCACTTCAACAAATGAAAGTATGTCACCTAAGTAGCACCAATTCCTCTTGACTCACGGGGGGGGGGGAATACTGGAAATGTAATCCTTCCCCCATTTTTAGCAGGACACCTGATGCCCTTTGGATGGGGGACGCTGCTCAACCGTCTGAAAGTATACTTCAGATGAGATTTTTAAAGGATCTTTCCTCCTCCACCTCCTTGAGTGGAACAGGCCCCTTAAAAATCCATCATCCTTTGCACACTGGCTCAGAAATACGGCCCACAACATGGAATGGTTCTTACTCTCCATTAAGGACACATTGAATTTCAGCAGAGTTAGTGAAGTCGGTGGCTCCCAGCCTTGGGACCCCAGTTGTTCTTGGACGAAAAATCCCAGAAGCTTTCACCGCTAGCTGCGCTGGCCAGTCCATGAACATCTGAGGAACACAAGTTTGGGAAGCATCGCTCTAAGCAAAGGGTTCCTATCATCCAGTCGTTCTGTACACAATGAAGGAAGGACAGGGGGAAAGTTCGTATAGGAATGGAAGGGTTTGGTGGTGGATTTTTTTTTATACTTAAAACTCCTATATTTTGTGTGCTACTCAGACATACTCTGCACAGTATATTGTTAAGTATTAACAACTTGCAAGCGGTCAGTGCCAAGTGACCCCATCGGTCAACAAACAATCTCCTCCCTCTCCCCTATTAAATATACCCCAGTAACCAACGGTTTCGGTTTGATTGTCACTCATTGTTCAAAATTAATTAAAACTCTTCCATAGAAAGCCATCCTGGAAAAGACACAGACTCACACGTCTTCGGAATTTCTATACATCACCAAAAATAGTTTAAATTACATATATGTATATAAATGTGTGTCTATATATTTATATTTATACATATATATTTATATGTTCCCAAAAATACTAGCAGCAATAACCACTGCAAAATGCAAACCTGGCAGTTTGCTTTCCTGCTATCACTTCGCGTCCCTCTCCCCGACTTTTCACTATACACCCCTGGTAAAAAATAATGCATTTAAGAACGCCCTCTTGCCCTTTTCAGAGAAAATGTATGCATTATAATTTATATATATAAAGAACTTTCTGTGGACTCCATTTCAGTTTCATGCCTACTTTACACCACCAGAAATGTTCTTTCATAGGAGTCATTCCATCCTTCCCTTAAGGACCCAATGGGAGTTGAATTCCTACTTCCGCAACGTGGTACTTTAATCTGATTGCTCCACCATTCACTTAGATCCTCCATCTGCATACCGTGGCTGAAATCCTGTTGCTCAGCATAAGAAAACTCATAGTTTTCAATCCTTTCCTAACTGTCAAATAAAAAGTCCCTGCCATGAGTCTTCAGGGCACGCATGCACACATGCATGCACCAGGCCAGCATGCGCATGTGCCCCCAAGAATCACATCTGGGTCTCTTTGTTTGATAACTAGGAAGAGACAGAAGGTTATTTTATTTTTTAAAAAATATGTATTTTTACCCCGCCTTTCTCCTTAAAAGGACCCAAGGCAGCTTACCTCATTAAAAGACAACATTAAAGCTAGCAACAGTGAGTTTGCAAATACTGAAAAGGAACAAAGAAACACCATACCAAAAACATGAGCCACACCAAAACACATACAAAGCGGTGAGGTATCACGATCCATTTCAAAACGGCACTCAGGTAGCCAGTTGCTCAGGGAAAGCTTTTCTGAAGGGCAAGGTCTGCACCTGCTTGTGGAAGGACAGCAAAGATGGGGCCAGCCGGGCCTCCAGTGGGAGGGAGTTCCAGCGTCTGGGAGCAGCAAACACACCTGTGAAGGCAATGGGACCAGAGAAAGGCCTTTCCTAATGATCTGAACACTCGAGCCGGTTCACAATGAGAAACACAGTCTTCTCTCCAGGAATGGGCAGAGCTGGCATACTAGTTTGAATTGTGCCAAGGCTCTCCTGGCTACCACCGAAACCTGGGCTTCCAGGTTCAGAGACTAATCCAGGAGCACCCCCACCCCCTTTGCACCTGTTTTTTCAGGAGGAGTGCAATCCTATCCAGTGCAGGCTGCATCTCTCTTCCCTGATCTGCCTTCCAACTGACCAGGAGCACCTTCGTCTTGTCTGGATTAAGTTTCAGTTTATTCACCCTCACCTAGTCCATTATTGACATCAGACACCGATTTAGAACATGAATATTCTTTTACTTATGAATATTCTTTTACTAAGCAACAGGATTTCAACCAAGTAGTTTAATTTTTAAGTATGCATGGATGATAGGTGCACGGATGGAGTGATAAACCTACGGAACAATGGAACAAAGAGCTTGGATCAGGATTTTTAAATATCCAAGCAATATTTTATGGTGAAAATGGCTCACATTGGTCCTTAGAATACGGTCGATTTCTTCAATTTAGTGTCCACCAGATGTGCTATATGGGAGTTGTAGTCTGACTCATCTTGAAGGCACTGGGCTGGGGGAAAGATAGAATACAGAGTGTTTTCAAATGCAAAATTAGGAGCTCGCTTTATAGACTACTAAAAATCATCATACAGTACATGAGCCTTTGTGGATTAGAATTCCACTTCATCAGGTTTGTACCAGTGTGAAGAACTGAAGAGTCCAAAAGTTCAAGGCAAGATCGATTCTTCCAGGAAAACTACTCTTAGAGGTAAAGTAAAAAAAGTTCTCGGCAAGGTGGAATTCGCCAGGCACGTCTCTCTTCAATGTAAGTGTGGTTGCTGCTTTATGGTTGCAGGTCAGTCAGCCTGGGGTTGACTGCTAACAACTCAGTTCTCCAAACAAAGAAGCACAGGAATGCCTGGCGAATTCCATCCTGGCGAGAACTTTTGGACTTTACATCTTAAGAGTAACTTTCCTGGCAAAATCATCTTGTCATGAACTTTTGGACGTCCAAGTTCTTCACACTGGTACAAACCCGATGAAGTGATGTTTTAATCCACGAAAACTCGTGTGTTGTAGGATATATATTTTTTAGTGGTCTATAAAGCGATCACCTATTTTTGCATTTGTATTTTATTTTGTTTGGACCACAGGGCTAACCTTTATTTCAATGGAATTAAGAGTACATATTTTCAGTCATTAAGAAATATAATCTGTTGGTCTAAGGAACCAAGATTCTTATCTGTTATGCTTGTAAATGAGGTCCAAGATGAGTTTTGAACAGAAAAATCACTGGTGGGCCTGGTTTTCACCCAGCCTTCATCTTCATGAACTTATGTGGTATGAAACATCTGGAAAGACCCATCTTGGCTTATCATGGCTTATTCATGATGTGCTGAAGTATCTTAAGAAGGTTGCAATCCAAACATGGGGGGTGGGGAATGAAAAAACACTCACCTTGCACCCAAAAATGAAGATCTAAACTATATGATCTCTGGGGTGGTCCAAGATAAAGGCTAAGTCCTAAATTCATCTAAATTAACAAAAGTTTGGCTACCAATATTCTCAAGCAAATACTTTGGTCAACACATCTTAGGATAACTTTCCTCCATTCAGGATAAACACAAGCCTAGAAGGACTTAGTTTACAAAGTTGCTTGTATCAATGGCACAAAAAGAGAGAAATGGGAGGGGGGGAACCACACTGGCATTTTCTAAACAGTTCTGTGTCATTTCTGCATATTCCGAACTCCCTTTACATCATCTGGGATAAATTATGACAAGTTAAAAGTGTGTAAACACAAGAGATGTGTGCTTTCTGGCCTGAACTACAACTCCCAAGATTCCACAGCCAGCAGGACTATTCTGGGAATTGTAGTTTTTTTAAAAAAGAGAGAGAAATGTTTTCCAACTGCGTAAAGAGCACTCCTATGTAATACGATTCCTAGATCCTACAATATTTTGATTACTCCTCAAGCATCACTTAGTGATTCCACCACACGACAGGGTGTGGCAATATGGGTGGTCCGGCCAGCTCTGTATTTGAGGAGGCCCTCAACTGGAGGTGATATGAAGGAACCCTTCTGTTTAACTGCCCCTCCAGTTGCTTACTTTGGACACCAGACACTAGAAGTACTGTTCCAGTCACGGCATGGTGACCCCTGAGAGGGAGACGAGGTGGGCATCATTTAAAGTCCTCAGAACTTCCTAGAACCACATTGCATCTGGGCGTTGTGAGAAATTATAATGGTCCGGGAGCAGCACAGTGGTTGAAGAGGGCAGATATCATAGTGATGGCACTAAAGCCACAGAAAATGTTGAATGAACACGGGATGCCGATGTCAGACGTGACTACATACACCCCACAGCTCCCTGTTTCTCGATTTTTGGACGATATCATTTCCAGAATCCCTCAGAATTACGGCCAAGATTTATAGTTGCTTTTTGAAAAAGTAATTTTCTCCAGTTCTGAATCCTTCTGAGTCCAGTTCAGATAAATGTTGTCCAACACAACAGTGACCTGGTAACCGTGTTCTTCTGGGAGGCCTCTGTGTTACGTTTTACCACAACAAAACCAATGAGGAGCATTAGGAGACAACACAAAAGTCTTCGTAGACTCTTGTTTCAGCTAATACTGGTCAACATTTTGGACTGTTTAAAAAGCTCCTGCTTTCAATTTCTGTGACTATTTTGGGGGGGGGGATACTGCCATCTTGAAACCGAGAGGACACAAATTCATCCGTTGTTGATGTTATCAAAAAATGCCTTCTCTACAGACAGAACATTCCTGTTTCCTTGAAATATAATGTTTTCCCAGGGAAACAACATTGCTGAGAGCTACCAAATGCTGAGAAATCAAAACAAGCTTAATCCTTCCTATTAAAATTTTGGTTCCCAACAAGGCCCCCTTTTCAAAAGTATTTTTCATATTTCTAATGGTCTAACAGTGCAAGTAAATTAGGTGTATGATTCCATAGTAATTTGGATTAGGAATGTATTTCTAGTTTTTTCTACTTACTACTATTATTTTTGGAGTGAAGGTGAAGGGAAAGAGATCCTATACAAGTATAATAATTTAGTTATATGTGGTTGGGAGCGTGCTCTACCTGAAATGACTCAGAACAAAAAAAAATTCAATTCTTAAAATAAAAATAAAATAAAACAATTACCGAACAGCAAAACACAACAATCTGGAGCACGACCTTACTGGTCACGAACATTATACAGAAGGCAGTGAAAACTGGTTCTCCTTCCTGGAGCTTGACTCAAACTTTTTAAAAAATATATATATTAAAGCTCAGTAGCTAACATCACAAAGACACTTTTGCCGGAGAGATGCCTGAAGAGAGAGCAAGTGAAAGAGAAAGTGTGTGTGGGTGTGGGTGTGTTGAAGTACACATACATTTTTCCACAACCCAAGCGTATGCCTGTATAGACCTATTTTTTTTTCCTAGACACACAAACATTCCTCAATAGAAGATATGCTAGAGTTTGAAATCCATTTAAAGGATTATGGATAATTTTCTCCTCTGTCAGTAATAGTTAAAAATTTCCCATGTGCAAGACGGTCACCAGTCTAAGGAAAGTCTCTCTCTCTTCAGTTGTACTTCCTGTCCTTTTGGCTTATTCTTGGAGCAAGGTTTCTCTCCAGTTAAAGCCCCCGGTTGGTCCGTGAGTGAGAGGAAGGATCGGGGGGTCGGTGAGCTGCCACAAGCCGGTGTCTCCGAGTTCTTCACAGCAACAAAACCCCAGGTATGGAATCTGCAGTTGGGGAATGGGGTGAGATAAAAACCTGTAAGATGTAAGAGAGAGACACATGTGGGATATTGGGTGCCCTGCCCCCCAATGACTCTGCCACGGGCACTCCTGTAGGAACAAGACTCCACCCCATTGGGGAAAAATGCTGCCATTTTTGGGACAAATGTTCGGAACATTTCTTTTAAATTTCTGGAGCAGGGCAATAGGTGAGGTGGCGAGGCCATTCAACAGTGTTACTGTAAGTGGATTCTGTTCACTTCCAGTTTGGGAGGGAAAGATGCACCATGGGGATAAAACAGGTCATGGGCAGGCACTGAAAATATAGCAATATTGTCTCCCATATCCCCTGAAACAGTGGTCCCCAACCTTGGGCCTCCAGATGTTCTTGGACTACAACTCCCAGAAGCCTTGCCTTC